CAGCTATTGTGTTACCATATTAGGTGAATCAGGCCATTACATAAAGCCATAACATGCTTTGTGTGGGAGCGCAGCATGGTACATGAACTTTGCTTTGTTAATCCAGGTCGAGAGTTTAGCATGTTACGTGCATCCAGCTAGTCAACTCCGTAGAAAAGAGTTTCTTTTTTCATGTTGAATCAGTGGATACTGTTAAAAAAAATATCCAGGTTTGGCTTCTGACCACTTGCTTCATTCATGCACCCTGTTGAGGCATGTGGATTCTGTGACCCCCCCCCCCCCGCTTTTTCCCCACAAGCTAGGTGGCCCAGAGAGGTGTGGCTAGAATGTATGGAACGCATAGCCCTGGTTGGCAGGGGGGAAAGACAATGGGGAAAGACTTGGAAGCACAAATTGCTTTCAACCAAATGCTGAGACGCTGAAGTCCTGCCAAATTTAAAACTACAGCTTTACTGATTTTAAGTACTATATGTCATTGTTCTTACACTCATTCACTCTTCTACGCACCCCAAATCCTACTCATCTAGGTTGGCTGAGCACTGGCTAGAGGAACGGAAGCCGCCAAGTCCAAACCCAAAATGACTCAGACAGCTGGTGTGTTCAAGATCCCTTTTACCAGCCAAAGTCCTTGTGTCACTGATCTGTAAAATTCAGCAACTGTTGATGGGATCTGGGTTTCCTTGCACTCCATGCCCAGCCTCCTTTTTCTGTTTTCTGATGACATTTCTGTTACATATCCGTTGGCTCTTAATCCTTTGGCTCTTTCTTAGGGTTATGAAAGTGTCTTTTTGACAAGATTCTTGTTTTTGTCCCCTCTGCATACATGTTTAGTCCAATTTTAGGTTAGGGCCGCAATGGTCAATTTCAGCCTAGCCACATTCTCACAACACTCTGCTGGTATTTTAATGTCTTTCCCCAATCAGATGAGCAAATGAATGACTCCAGTTGACTCAGATGTGTTGGGGGTTCAACAGAGTAGCCTTGTAAGGAACTTTGGGACTAATGATGCTTTTGTATCACATGCAAAGTGAAAACAGAATCATCATAGCCACAAATAATCCCAGCCCTCTTCAACCTACACCTTCCAAGTTAGCTTACTTGACAGGATTCTGAATTATCTGAAGAATCTGTAGGGCATCAACAGGACGCCTATTTTAAGGGAAATCTAAGATTGGAGGTTTATTCCTGAAAAGCTGAGGCAACTAATTATGAAACAAGACAGCGCTTATATATCCCTTCCAATTCCTAGAAAAACGACAAAGCCCTGATGCAAATAGTTTTGTGATAATTTTTTTTTTTTATCTCTTTTGGAAAAAATTACATACAAAAACCCAGGAATCAACATGGTAGGCATTCCAGCAAAAATACAGAGAGAAGCTCCATTTCTCAAAGGAAACACTACTGATTATGATCATGCTAGAAAAACGGTATGCAGCAGAAAAGTTCTAGGACCGGGGGTGGGGGTGGGGGAGGGAGAGAATGAGACTAGTAAGCCGGTCCTTTCATTCCTTCGATTTGTTAACCATACCGTGCAAAATGAACATCAGTCTTGGATACAAATGCATTACATTTTGATTCACAAATTATAGAAACTGCCTACTCACGTGATAGTTAGGCAGGCGCTTACTAGGAGAAAGGAATACCATCTTTGGGGGGGATTCAAGAGCTGGTGAATTTCATTTTAACAGATGCTAAGTTCTCTCTCTTCAGAACAGTCCCTCCCTGAAAACAAGGAAAACTGCTGAAGCTCAAAGTCCTTGATGGCTGCCTTTTTTCTTGCTGGTATTTCCATTTAACTCCCTGACAGCTTGTCTTTCCAGGAAAAGCAGAGAGCAAAAGCTGCAAGAGGTACCAAGAGAAGGTCAAAGTTTGGCCAGTCTTCCTCCTTGAGCCTATGTTCTAAAGTCCTTTTGCATTTCCTTATTAATGGGGAGGGACATTTCTGAGGAGGCACAGCAAAGATGCTTTTCACATGGTTCCCATGTGACACACAGTCTGGATCTAATTTCCTATTTGTGTCAAAATGAAAGATATTACAATATATTCGCACCAGTGGAACTGAATCACAAATTTATTGCCCTATGGCTTCTTTCTGAATTGTGAAATGATGCTCAAATGTAGCAATGAAACATTTACACTCTTTCTATTACAAAACACTAGTTGGTACCACAGTGATGGTTTCAAATTTTCAAGATCAGTTTGGAGCCTTCTGTGAAGCACTGTATGACATAAGGATTTTGTGTGGATCTAAAGGGATAAATATATTTGTTCCAAGGTTAAGTGCTACTTCCAAAGCTATCCATGTCTTTAAAATGCATGCATATGCCACAAGAAAGCGATACATATATGTCTATTTTACAGCAAAAAATGTTCATTTGGTAGAATTCTGGTAAATGATTCAATGATCATGGCTACAAATTTTCCTACATGATTTTCATGCTTCTTAGGAAGAGGCAGGTCTTAAGAAATTTAAAAGCACCACTCTGGGGTGGCCTCCAGCTTACTATAGACCATTGTTCTTTAGCCCGGGACTGCAATAACACTTTATTCTCCTAAGTTTCCCAACTTGTTCTTCTGTTCCCCAGATCTACTAAAAGGCTCATGATGTTGTCTTTTGACCAACCCAATGACTCTCTTGATCCAGTCTGCTAAACTATTAGTGCTAAACTGGAGTTTGACATTAACAATAAGCTGCAGTCATTTGTTCTTGCAGTTCAAGGCAATCATCTTAAAGACAGTGCACAAGATGTGTGCATTCACACATAGGCTTTCTCTGTAATCTCCATCATGCCCACAACAAGGATGTCTTTTTGTGTGCATTTTAAAGAGCTTTGTTGGTGGCTTTATATGAAGAAGCTTTGCTTAAGGCAGACTCGACAAGACAACAAAAAGAAAGCTGCAAAGAAAGCTGTGTGGATTATGCACATTTTTCGAAGACCTTGGACCTAAGGAAGCTAGTCTTGAGTCAACAACCCAAAGATTAAACATCATGAGCACAACTCCTTTTGGGGCAATTTCCTGAGCAAGCTCTATAGAAGAGAGCTTTCTTCTAGGGGTCTATATAAGACCCCTAGAAGAAAGTTCAGGTATTTCCTGCCCTAGTCACAGTCCCAATTATGGGGCTTGTCTAAGAGGAATCAAAGTTTGCAACCAGAGTAGTTCTTAGTCTTGCTATGCTGAATCAGCACTCAAAATATACATTTCTCATTATCGATAACCTAAAGGGCCAGATAGCAGTCATGCTGAGACAATTCTACAGTAACTTCTAGAAAATGAATATGAATTCTGCAGAATTGCACTAGCAGTACTGGATCTGAACTCTCCACCTACTGGAAGCACCATCTCTGGTAATAAAAAGGTAAAAATGAATTAGTATTATAATTATCATTTAATTTATTGTATATAAAACAAAACAAAACAAAAAAAATTGTGTGTACAAATATCACAGAACATCAACAATTCCCAAAGGTGTAGTGCCTCAGAACACAATTCAATCAAAAAAGAGCTCTCATTTTTTTCTTGTTTCTTTTTGTTGTTGTTGTTGTTTTCATTTGTCTTAAATTCTGGCATAAATATATTAAAGCTGACGATAAGAAGAAAAAAAAGTGGGTAGGAATTCCAGGGCAAGCTACATCATTTCCTCATACAAAAATGTACAAAACATTAGTTTCTAACTAGACATAACATAATACTGGTCATCACAGTTTGACAATTAGTATAACTGTGTATTGTTGTGGGAGTATTGTAGCAGAGGGCAATAAAAAAGTTTCTCTTCAAGCTGTTCGGATCAGGTTACTTCAGTCATAGAGGCAGAATGATTCTGCAGAAAGAGAAGACACGAAGCACATAACATGTTTTAGCATGCAGTGATGTAGTCACCACTGTTGACCTTAGGGCAGATAAGAAACAAAGTAGGGAAAGCATGCAGAGCCTGGTGTCCGGAATTCTTTTCAACCCTTCCATAATACTTCTACCCTGGGCCACATGACCAGGAAGGAAGAGGGAGGAGGACTTAATGGAGGATCCATCAACATTTTGAGACACTGCCTAACTGCCTGTTCCATAATCATTCACTGGGGGATTTTTTTTTGGGGGGGGAGAGTTTTTCTCTTTTTTCAAACTATTTCTTTTGCTGGCTTTTTCCCCAATACCAAACTTAATTCCATTTTGTTCAATTCTGGAAAATTATCCTGCTGATGGACAGATGAAGACATTGTTCTGATTCTCTTTACATAATTAATTTCCAACATTCTGTTAGGCTGGAAAGAATTAGGCTGAAAAAAATCCAAGGATATGGAATTAGACTATTAAGAATTGCAAACTTGCCTTCGATGACATGTTGAATCCCTGTGACTCATCCAAAGTTGCTCTTTCTTGGAAGCAGAAGAATTTATAGTTTTTAATGGCCCTATTTCTATATCTGTGCTAGCAATTAATCTTTAGAGAGCAATAAACAAAACCTGCAGAAATTATGAACTTAGATTTGGATTTTTAAATGATCCAGTAGCAAAGTTCTCTGGGAATGCACAGACAAACTGACAAATGAGACTCTAAGGCCATCCTGATATTGCTATACTACAACTCCTGGCCATTGCTGATCCTGAATGTCCAATCCCTTAATAATACAGGCGGCTCTCGTTTAACAACCACTTGTTCAGCAACAGGTTGAATTATGACACTACTGAACAAGTGGTACTTATGATTGGTCCTCGAAGTTACAGTCATTGCAGCTGTCACATGATTGTGTTTCAGGTGCTTGGCAACTGGCCTGCACTTCTGACCGTTGCAGCATCCTATGGTCACATGATCCCGATTTCCAACCTTCTCTGCCAGCTTCTGACAAGCAAAGTCAATGAAAAAGTCACCAGGAAGTTGCAAGTTGTGGTCACATGAGGTCCTTGCTTAACAAAGGCAACTGGGACTGCCAGAGCTACCATTGCTAAGTGGTGCAGTCATGTGGTTTTTCAACTTATAATCATCATGGATGGATGATTTTAAGTTTCCGATGGAGTTTCTGGTCCCAATTAGCATTGTTAAATGAGGATTACCTGTAGTACTATCTTGTTAGTTGGAGTTGATGGGAACTAGATTACACCACAGTTCCCCATCCTGCTTTAAAGATACTTGCACAGGACATATCTGAAATAGTTCAGAGGCTCAAATATAATTGTCAAGGGAGGATACTTGGGACGATATTTGTTACTGAGCAGATTGTCCCAGATAAATGAATTACCTTTAATCAAATGGAAGAAACAGGTAATGATGGAATATAAAAATATAGGATGGAAGGACTGCTCTAATTAAATAATGGTGCTAGTAAACTGTTGTCCTCTTTTCATGCTGTTATTTATCATGCCAAAAATGCTAAAAACATAGCAGAAAACTGCCTGCCATGCTTATTTGGAATATACAGAACTAAACTACTAAAAACGAGTTAGTCAAAAATAGAAATTGGATAAAAGCTCAAAACAGAAGTTTAGACGGTTAGATGGTACCTGGGCACTCAATGTCTCCAAAGGACTTTCCACTCTTGGAAACGCCATCAGGGGGACACCTCGTTGTTCATCCAGTTTTGATTTTGAAGGTGTTCCATGTGCTCCCTTGAAATTATGAACCACACAGATGCCCTGGGCGATGGGAAAGAGAAAAGAAGATTCCTGGAGCAATCACCAACACCCAGAAGACATTTGCAGACATTCTGTGGAATTGACTTAGTTTCTATCACTGAATGAAATTCTTCTAGATTGACATAAGTTACCAGTTTTATCTTGCTTGTACTCAGCAACGAATTAAAAAAATGTCCTCTCATTTGTTCTCAAAACATTCCAAGTCTGCTGTATAATTCTGGCTCATGGTGAGCAACATCTAGCAAAGGCATTTATTGATCCTCAGGATCAGTAACACTCTGCTTAAACCTTTGAAAGTAGATTTATATTACAGCAATCCATGATCGTACCACACAGTTCCTAGTCAGTGCCTTAGATAACAGTGCACAAGCTTATAGAAAGCAACAGCTATCTCATGGGACAGATGCTGTGGTAAGAAGCAAACTGCAGAAACTGGAAGGCAGTTTGCCATAAGTACAGCTGAGGACAGACCACTGCTGTCATTAAAGTCTGATCAATTTCTGTAAAAGTAATGGAAGCAGGTGATATCATGTCCTTTGCTCTCCAGATATAAATTGAGTTTGAAAATGACTTTTCTGCTTCCTTCAGCCTTGCATGAACAGATGGCTGGTCCAGACTAGTTTGGACACTGGCAGGGGAATTTTCCACGTGAAAAGGAAAGTAAAAGTCATTCACCTACCAGAAAGAGTGCTACTGCGCTTCCCAAGATGAAGCCTGCAATGACATCTGAACAGTGGTTTCGATACTCAGAAACTCGATTGAGCCCTGTAAGGAAGGCAGCACAAAGTGTCCCCAGGCACAACACTGGCTTGGCAAGCCGACTGCTCTTTGTCTTGATTGTGCTAGTGATGTACATCTGAAATATTCAAATATATTAACTTTAGTCACTCAAGAGATAACCTAGTCTCCTACAATCCATCTCTCATCAGCACCAATCATCCTCTTATGGTATTCATCTAAATACAGAGTTTGAACTGGTGTTCCATTCAGCTTTATGGGAAACTGACCTTGGAAGCAATCTGAACACTTTCATTAAATCATTAAACAAGAGAGTTATTGAAAGACCTCCTTTGAAATACATTTCCTACTATATGACCTTGAAACAGGATGATACTTCCTTTGCCAAATACTTCCACTTTCATAGACAGAATTTACTGGAGGCGCTGAATTGATATATTCTATGGAATATAATTCCATATCATTTCACATATCATTTCTATAATAAAAATGGGCTTTACTCCAGCCATACTGCAAAGAACTCAAGATATGAATTGGTTTATTTGGAGAACTAATCAGATAGCCTGAAAACAATCTAAGTAGTAGGGTTCAAAGATTACAATAAGTGAAGATGTGCTCTGTTTGTTCCTGTTGTGCTGTTATTATTAAAAGTTAGAGGCTTCCTGACTGTAGAATGGCTCTGGGTGGCATATACTTAAAAACAGAAAACAATTAAAAGAAGAATCTATGTTTCAGAATAAGCCACATACTATATACAAGCAATGTGTTTTTAGCTTGCACAGCATGTTGAGTAAATTCAGTCACTATGGTTTGAGAACTACAAATTAAAGCAGATTGGACAATCTTTATGCGGCTGGAGAATGTAGTAAAAAAAGGGGGGGGGGTTCTAAGGGCTGTCTGCTTGTCTTGGTGCTGTCACTGGAGGGTGTAAGCTTGGATTTTTTTTTTAAAGATAAAATAGATATGGCTCAAAAATGATTCAGAAAATGTGCTTTGAATCTTGCACAGTATGAGCACAACATCTCACTGCTATTCCTTAAAGCCTGTGTGTTATTTTTGCAGGTTTCTCTAAGAGTCTGAAAAAATATATCAATGCCTTGAAGAGTTGACTCATTAAAGTTAATATGACTCTTAAAGCAGCCACAACCTTTTTGCAGGCTTGTGTGGAAGCCAGAAATAAGGCATGGCTGCTTTTATTATTGGAACAAAAGGGACTACGCTCCTGCAAAATCCAAAGTGCTTCTTCTGAATCATGTTTGAAATATTCACAATCCCTAAAATTAGATCTAGCAGAGGTCTAACATTTCTATTTTGCTGATTGTTGAATATATATATATATATATAGGGTTAGCTATAGATTGCCAATCCATGGCTTATGGCTTAGTAAGATGTGTGAACCCTGTTACGACATTCATCAAACTGTGGCTTGTTATGAAATGTGAACAGAGTCAGCATCTAAAAGTCATCAATGTAACCATAGATATTGTTCCTGCATTTCTGAGGATGATGTAGCAAATGGTCTTAAACCTTGAAATGTGTCTTTTATCTGATCATCATTCTAAAATAAAATGTGGCACAGAAGGGCATAAACAAATAACAGCTCAGTTTTCCACCTAATGGATGGATACTCTCTCCTATTTTAGCCCATTTCCATCTTTTAAAAACTACCATTGTAATTTTTAGTGTAATTAATAAATGACAGAAAATGAATAATGTATGAAGTTTTTTTTAAAAAAAGGCAAACTACCATGAAAGACAATGGAAGTGTAATTATACGATGCAAGATTTCTTTGTGTACACAACTATTCCTTCAGTAAAACAGCAAAGCCACGATAAAAAAAAAAAATCAGCAGCATTGAGGACAAAGTTACACTAATTTTCGAGACTATAATTACAAGGGTGACATGAGTAGGAAGATACTATAGCACTAAAATAAAAGTGATGGGCTAAATCAGCAAATACAATAGAAACTTCTCCAGTGATTTATGCTTCCAAAACACAGCCTGGCTTCATTAAGACCTCACTTCCCAAAATAGCATCATCTTTAACAGATGCTTTCCAAGTGTCATAGGAGGCATAATAAGACACAAACTAAAGTTAGGCCAAGTTAGGTTAGATCAGTTTTATGGGGATACAAACTGAGAAAAATAAAACTGAAAAAATGGAGAGATATAATTAATTGCTCTATTGTAACTGTAGTTTGTTGAACAAATAACAGTGGCCTGGTTCCCGTAAAACACTAAGCTATAAACCATGGTTTCCAAGCGTCAATAGTTGAGATCACAGAAATCCCACTGAGAGTGTAATGTCTGAAAACTGAGTTGCACTGAATTCATCATAGTTGGATGCTATGGTATCATAGTTCTGTTCAAATATCTGGAGAACAATGAGCAAAAGAGTGTCTCAACTGAGCTATATAAACAAACAAACAAACCATTGATGAGGGAAAAAAAGGCTCTGTACAAATTCTGCATAGGAAAATTTGTTCTGCATCTTTACCACTGTGTAGAAATTAGAGTTTCTTCAAAATGGAATAGCAGAAACCTTTATACATGGAAATCATTACTTTGCTTTGCTTACTACAGCCAATCCATGAATACCCAAGGCACATTTAAACTAGGTATATATTTTAAAATAAAATTCATACTGATTTCAGAAAATGAACTAGTTTATAGTGCATACATTTAGCAGTTTAAAAATATAGACTTTCACCATCTGCTAGGTGACAACTCTGTGAGCAAAGTGATTTTATTGGGCGTGTACATTGCTCTGGAGGGGATACTAACAGTAATTACTTCTCAAATGCCCCCCCCCATTAATTATACATCTCCACATTTCAAGACTGAGTAAGCACAGCAGTCAGTCTCTCTCTCACATGCACGCACGCATTTTTTTAATATATATATATATAAAAATACAAAATATAATCATGGATGGCATGTAGCTCTTAGTAAAAGATAGTCAACAGCTTTGGTGAGCTATGTATCAATAGTTTCTTTACCATGAATGGTTTGAAATATTTAAAGATAATGGGCCTTTCCAAGTAATCTCTTTCCATTACTTTAAAAATGAGATTGGAAAGGGTTAGAAAGGCATACTTGTATTTATATTAGTTTTTCTCACTCCCCTCTCCTGTCCCCTAATATTCTTGTCTTTCCTCTGAGAAACAAACAACAGGGGAGTCAGAATGTAAAGTGAGATAAGAATGTTTTACTCTCCTACTCTGCTGGAGCAGTTTTATGTTCCCAACAGTCTCATGAAAACCACCAGTTTGCACACACAGCACTGTTGTTCCTGCTCTTTCTGCATCATGGGATTTGATTTTTTTCCTTGGGAAGATGATCAAGTACTGGGCTACTGGGTCTGGGCTGCAACAATCCAGACGACTACTAGATGACAGAAAAGAAATTCCAAAATACTATAACTTTATACTGCCCTCCAGTGGGTTTTGAGATTTTTGCAACATGGATCAAAAAGGAGGTAGGAAAAAGGAGAGAGGAAAAAACTGCTCCTTGGGAAGTCTATATATGAAAGTGAAGGAAAGACAGTGAGGTTTGTGAACTCAGAGGTCCTCTACTAAGAACTGAATTAAACTCAAGAAACACAGAAATGAATTCTTCACAATTGAGCAGCAAAATCAATTTAACTATTAGGTGGAATTGGCAATTTGTGGGAGGAACCAGCAATGCACACCGGGTACAAAAGTGTGAGTTAACAGCTTATAATCTACAGTTCAGTTCGCCATAGAATTGTCGCTAGTGTTATCACTAACAATGCCCAGTGGCAGACAAACTAAGCAATGCAGCTGAAATAATAGTTAAACAGCCAAATAAATTTATAGTACTACAAGACACATATGCAGCAACAACCAATAGCTCAGACATCTTTTGTTTGCCCAGAGAATCAAATTTATATAGCACAGATTTATCAATAGCATTTCGCAATGACAGCCAGATAACAATACCACAAGACAGTATGCCACTGAATCTCAGATGTTTCTACACCAATGCACAGAATATGGGAATCAAACAGAGGGAACTTGATACAGGGGGATAAGTATGATGTAATAGGCATTACTGACATATGGTGGGGTGACATGCATGACTGGAACATAGCCCTGGAAGACTGCACTTTATGCAAAAGGAACAGACTCAACAGGAAGGAAGTGGGTGTTGCATTTTATGTAAAGAAAGCACATGCCTGCACAGAAATTCACAAATAGGAGCACAGAAATCCTGCTGAAAGCAATTGGGTAAGAATAAAAGAGAAGAGAAACAAAAGAGATATCACTGTGGGACTTCAGTATAAAGTCTTGTGTATAGACAGGCAGAAGATATGGATGAGGTCTTCTGTGTCAGAAAAGACAACTTTCAAAGAGACAGAGGATAGTAACAATGGGAGATTCTGGCTACCCTGACATTTGGTGGAAATCTAACTCTGCATTTGTCAGAAGATGGATAAAAGGAAGGAATTTAGCAAGGAAGTATGCTATCCTGGACCTACAGTAATTCTTACTAACAGGGAGGGATTGTTTGAAGAAGTGAAAGTGATTGGAACTTTGGGAGAAAGTGACCATGTTATCCTTCCATCTGGGATGTTAAGGGGAAGAGGAATAGAAAAGCTTCAGACTTGTACAGTAGATTTCAGAAGAGCGGACTGATGAATTCAGGTAGGTCAGATCAAATGGCTTGGAATCCTGAAGAAGAGTGTCTGATAAGATTGGGAAATCCTGCAAAAAGAGATACTGTAGGCACAGTTGCAAACAATTCCTACTAGAAAAAAAAAGAGGAGACATTTAAAGAGACTAGTACAGATACACACAGAGTTTTCTAAAATGCTGAAAAGAAAATGAGACATGTATAAGAAATGGAAGAGGGGCTGTATAATTAAAGAAGGATACAAGGTAGTAACCAAAACTATAAGAAAAGGATAACACTCAGAATTACCTGGCTTTTGTAAAAAAAAAAGCCTAGAACAACAACTATTACTATTACTACTACTACTACTACTACTACTACTTTTCAGCTGTGTCAGAAAGAAACAAAGTGGCTGTAGGTCAGCTGTGAAGAGAAAGGGGTAAATTAGTAATGGCTGATGGTGAGAAGGCCGAATGTCTTCGCTCATATTTTACATTTACCCTCCCCCAGGTGGGAAATGAAGCCCTAGATGGCTATCATTGTGCCACTAGTGGAATAACAGGAGCTGCAGTTTAGGATAGACAAGAACCAGATAAAAGAAGACTTGGCTAATTTAAATGACTTCAAATCTCCAGGGCCAGATAAATTGTACCCATCCCAGGTACTGATGGAACTCGCAGAATGCAAAATCACTAATGGGAATGTTTGAGAATTCCTGGAGTTCTGGTGAGTCTCAGAAGACTAGAGGAAAACAAATGCTGTCCCTTTCTTGAAAAGAGAGAAATTACAGACCTATAAGCCTGAGAATTTTAAAAAGCAGTTTCTTTCTTTCTTTCTTTCTTTCTTTCTTTCTTTCTTTCTTTCTTTCTTTCTTTCTTTCTTTCTTT